TAGGGCTATAGGGCTGTAGGGCTTTAGGGTTATGGGGCTATTGGGATATAGGGCTATATTGGCCATAGGGCTAGATATAGGGCTGTAGGGTTGTAGGGCTATAGAGCTAGAGGGCCGTAGGGCTATAGGGCTACAGGGCTATAAGGCTATAGGGCTATAGGGCTATAGGGCTGTAAGGCTATTGGGCTGTAGGAGTATATGGCTATAGGGCTATGGGGCTATAGGGCGATAGAGGACCTGGGCACCCGGGTACCCCCGGCCACCTCCGGGTACGCCCCGGCGCCCGTTGGCACCCGGGCACCCGGGCACCCGTGCACACCCGGGCGCCCAGGCTCCCGGGCACCCAGGCACCCGGGCACCTGGGCCGGTCACCAAAATCCCCGGCCCACATCACCTAACCATCTGAATCCGCTAGGACCCCTACAGAGGCAAGCTCTCGCCTTAGCGCCGCGCGCATTCATTCATGATACCGGAGAAAAACCCCTAAGCATAATCTTTTTAGGGCTGTAAGGCTACAGGGCTATAGAGCTATAAGGATATAGGGCTATGTGAACTATTGGGCTATAGGGCTACAGAGCTATAGGGCTATAGGGCTATACCGTTATACGGCTATAGGGCTATAGGCCTATAGGGCCATAGGGCTATAGGGCCGTATTGCTATAGGGCTATTGGGCTATAGGGCTATATGGCTATTGGGCTATTGGGCTACAGGGCTATATGGCTATAGGGCTATGTGGCTGTAGGGCTTTAGGGCGATAGAGCACCCGGGCACCCCAGCACCCCCGGGTTCCCCCGGGCTCCCCCAGGCACCTCCTGGCACACCTTTGGGCACCTCCGGGCACCTTTGGGCACCCCTGTGCACCCAGGCATCCGGGCACCCAGGTCCGCCGCCGAAGTCGGCGGCACACCTCACCTAACCATATGAATCCGCTAGGACCCCTACAAAGGAAAGTGCTGATGGGGAATTAAAATGTAACAAAGTTTCACGGAATCCCCTGATCAACGTAGCAGGATTGGTGTTTTGGAAGGATTCAGGATTATGCGGGTGCAACAGTTATCCGTCAGGGACTCGCCCCATGCCGCTGGCCCCCTGTCTCGGATAATGGGAGATGCAAAAGCAAAATCATGAGGTCTGGGCGCCACCGTGAAGCAGTGTCGGGACGTGCTTGTTTTTCGACCCTGACCCTAGGTGCCACCGAATTTCAGACATGTGACATGTGGCAAATCCTTTCTGTTTTTGGACCCTGACCCTACGGATCTGCGTGAGGGGTGCCGCCGAATGTCAGAAATGTGGCAAACCCCTTTTGTTTTTGGACCCTGACCCTACGGATCTGCGTGAGGGGTGCCGCCGAATGTCAGAAATGTGGCAAATCCCTTATGTTTTCCGATCTGCGTGAGTGGTGCCACCGAATCTTAGAAATGTGGCAAAACCCATGTGTTTTTGGACCCTGATTTCGCCGATCTGCGTGAGTGGTGCCACCGAATTTCAGAAATGTGGCAAATCCCTTGTGTCTTTGGACACTGACCCCGCCGATCTGCGCGAGAGGTGTCCATGTTTACCCACCCCAGCAATTCAGAGCACACGCTCAGGGCGTGGTAGAAATTCCCGTGTTGGGTCTCCCCCCTCGTGCGGTCCCTCAACAAGGAACAGTAAGCAGCAAGAAGTCAACAAGGAACAGTAAGCAGCAAGAAGCAGAACTGTTCCAGTGGAAACTGGAAGCTGCAACTGGTACAGGAGACTGCGAACCTTCGCCCTACAGCCTGGTGGCCCCACAAGGGGGCCGGCGGATATAGGTTCGCGGTGTTGAAGTCACAACATTGGCGTTTTGGCACGATTTAGGATCGTCAAGACGCAGCAGTCAGGTTACTGCGTGGCGTTGAATCCCGAGAACATTGTTTTGGTTTGTTGCAGGGCCTTCAAACTGTTGTCTTCCAACAAGGCAGTCGTATCAACGGAAATGAACCGATGTAGGGGCCTATGACGAGGGAGCTTGGAGGGAGGGTTTATTCCAATGTCGTTGATATCTCTTGGGTTTACACTGGTTCCCCTCATCCTCTTGCTCCTCCTCCGAGCTCGCGCGATGCGGCTGGGCGATTGTGCAGCTGGGCGTGATGGGCTTACCGAGGCGCGCTGCCTACGGGGCCTTTCCTGGCGCCCGCCAGACGGTGGGCAGGGCCGAGCGGTGGGCCTTTTTGCAGGACCTGCGGCTGCTGCCAAGCATGAAGCTCTTGGTCACCGACCTGGCGGGCCTGCAGCGCGAGATCCTGGAGTGGGACCCTCGCCACGCCAGTTCGGTCGGCACCTACACGGACATCTGGAGGCAGGTTTTCGATGTGAGGAGGGGCCAGGCGCCACCTGACGCGCTGTGGTGTCCTTCCCACCTCTCGTACATCGAGTACGCCGAGGACCCGCGCCGCGACGTCACGGACTTCCTCGGCAATGAGTGGGCTGACTGGTTTGCCAAGCAGGGAGCTCGTGAGCACAGGCTCCCTGCTGCGCTGGCGGACCTCCACGAGGTGCGGCTCTCCGACGCCGTCGAGGAGGCCTCCGTGCTAGCGTGGCACATGACCGCGTTGGGCACCCTGTCTGAAGAGGCTCAAGGCCGCACATGTCGGCAGAGCCTCCCGCCGCCACCGGTGGCGCCCGCCGAGATCGGCCGCCGCCACCGCCTCGTCCGTCGGCCCGAGGGCTGGGCGTGTACAACCTGCTCGGCCTCGGCCGCGAATGCGGCAGCAAGGCGCCGACTCGAGCGGGAGGACAGTGCGCCCTCCACCCTCCGCTCCCTCATGGCCCGTGCGAGGACCCGCCTCCCTCCCTCCGACCCCGCCTCTCTTGCCGCGGCGCCGCTCCCTTCGGCGCGTGAGGATGCCATCGCCGTCGCCCTCCGTGCTGCGGATCGCGTCCTGCGGGACGCGTCGCCTCGGCTTGAGGTTGGCCATCCTCGGCCCGCGGCTGCGAAACCCTGGACTCCGTCGCCTCCGCGGAAGCTCGGGGACCGCTCGCGGTCCCCTCGGGGTGGGCCCTTTGGAGGCCCTGCTGCTGCCTTGGCCAGCGCGTGGCGTGCGGCCCATCCTTCGGACACGAGACCCTGGATTCGTGGCGCGCTCGGCGGTGCCGACACCCTTGGGGGCACCTCGGGGGGGGAGGGTCGGGGCTGGGGCTGTCGAAACCCCTGGGGGCCCGATGGGGCCCACTGCGTCTAGTAGGCACGGGCCTGTGGCTCCGAGCGCTGCCGATTCGTCTCGGGTCCTGGGCGGGGGCCCAGGTGGGCCTGTGTTCGGCGAAGCGGCGGAGGAGGGCCGCCCCCAGGGGCCAGAATCCCACGGTGCAGCTGGTGCCCCGTCCAGGACCCTTGGGCCCTTGGAGTCCCCAGGCGACTAGGTCGTGGCCATCCGTGACCATCAATTGGCCACGGAAGGTCCTTTCGTGGTTTTGTCTCGTTTGCGGCGGTTCGGCCGTCACCCGCCAGTCCCCAGTTTTGGCGGCCCCGTGCAATGGGCCCGTCACTTGGGCGACTAGTAGAGCGCGGGCAGCGGCCCTGAGGCATGTCAAGGCTGGCCGACACCCCCGTACAGGGATCCCCAGTAAGGGTGGATTCAGCGGTGGCTAGCGCCGCGCCTGTTTCCAGGTTCCCCACTTGCAGTAGGCGGCTGCGGACAACTGCAGCCACTCGCGTCCACCTCCCTTTCCCCCTCCAACTTCCAGCCTCCACCTCCTCCCCTTCCAGATATTCCCCCCCTCCTCCTCCTCCTCCTCCTCCTCCTCCTCCTCCTCCTCCTCCTCCTCCTCCTCCCCCTCCTCCTCGTCTTCCTCCTTCCTCTTCCTCCTCCTCCTCCTCCTCCTCGTCCTTGCACGGACTTCAAGTGGAGCTGCATTTTCGGGTGCCCTCAACCCGATCGCATTGCACACTATTTGACGTGCCCCCGCCTCACCCATCTCGTTTGTCGTCCTCGAGCTGTCGTCTCGTCGTGCCCTCTCCTCCGCCTCGGGCTTGGCCTTCCTGTGCAATATCCCGCGTGTGACCTCACCCGGGAAAATGCCATTTTAGCTACTGCCCTCAGCTTCTATATATACCACGTGGCCAAAGATATGGCCTCTCATTCAGACGGGCGCCCTTTAACTCTGCCCCAACAGCTAGATGCCCTCCAAGCGGCGCTAGCAAAGATGCCCAACAATTACTCGATTCTCCCGCCGCCGCCTGGATCGGCTAAGCCTTACCCCTGGCTGAAGCCCACGAGGCGCTGAGTGCCGTGAGACCCGTGGACTCGTGGGGTACTGGCGCTCCTCCTCCTCGTCCTCCTCTTCCTCCTCCTCCTCCTCCTCCTCCTCCTCCTCGTCTTCCTCCTTCCTCTTCCTCCTCCTCCTCCTCCTCGTCCTCCTCTTCCTCCTCCTCCTCCTCCTCCTCCTCCTCCTCCAACTTCCAAACTCCACCTCCCCCGCCCCCCCTCCTCCTCCTCCTCTCCTCCTCCTCCTCCTCCTCCTCCTCCTCCTCCTGTTCCTCCTTCTCCTGCTCCTCCTCGTCATGTTCATCCTTCTCCTGCACTTCGTCCTTCTCCTCTTCCTCCTCCTCCTCCTCCTTTCCTCATCCTCCTCCTCCTCCTCCTCCTCCTCCTCCTCCTCCTCCCCCTCATCATCCTCATCATCATCATCATCATCATCATCATCATCATCAGTATCATCATCATCATCATCATCATCATCATCATCATCATCATCATCATCATCATCATCATCATCATCATCATCATCATCATTATCATCATCATCATCATCATCATCATAATCATCATAATCATCATAATCATCATAATCATCAGCATCATCAGCATCATCATCATCATCGTCATCATCATCATCAGCATCAGCAGCAGCAGCAGCAGCACCATCATCAGCAGCATCATCATCCTCATCATCATCACCTTTCCCCTCATCCTCATCCTCTTCCTCCTTCTCCTCCGCCCTTCTGGCCTCTGCTCACGCGGCCGCCCGCGCCCGCGAGGCGTCGTCCGGGAGGCCCTGCCGGCCGACCTGAGCACCGACGGCAGCCACCTGCTCCCCGCCGGATCCCTGCGCGTCGTGTTCGGCGGCGGCGTGCGGATGAAGTGGGTGACGCCGCAGGAACCGCCCCGGGTGGGCCACCCTCGCGTCGCGAACCTAGATCTCCGATCGTATGATTTTTGTTTCAATCCGGGCGGGCACCCTCGATTTAGGCCTCCTGGGCCCGTTATCGGGCCACGTGGCCATCAAGGACGGATCTGGGATGAAAAACTACCCCCAGGAAGAAAAGGTCGGGAGATCTGGGCCGAGGATTGGAAAAAACGATCACGGCGCGGGGGGGGGGACTCTTGGCCTCCGAAGGGGGGGCCGTCGCCGGACGCGGGACCTTCAGAGGGCGGCTCGGGGTGAGAAGCCATTCCCCCAAGAAGAGGGCCAGGGGGGGCACCACCACCAGCGAGCCAAGCATCCGAAAGGATGCATGGGCAGAAGAGTGCGCGATTGGCAGCTCTTCGTCGAAACAAATGAGTGGATTGCAGAAGGATCGCGTGCATTCAAAAACTCGACTGTGAAGCAGAAAATTGAAGTGCAGCGCGCGACCGGGGGCGGGGGGGCACAATGCGAGAAGAAGGCGCAACGTTGGGGGGTCCTGGGGGGCCGCCTGGGTGTCCGGCAGGGGCGCGTGGACTGCCGCGCTCCGAGCCCCGGCGCCCCCACCCCCACGGCCGGAGGGGGTGGCAGAAGGAATGCCCGCAGCGCCTCGCCAGCAGCGCAGGGCGCGAACCCGGAGCCGCGGGGGCGGAGGGGGCCGCACGCAAGTTCGCTCACCTCCGCTGTGGCTCCAGGGGCGGGTGGGCGGCGTGGCCCCCAAAGGGTAGGGGCAGCAGGAGGAGGAGGAGGAGGAGGAGGAGGAGGAGGAGGAGGAGGGGGAGAGAAGAAGGTGGAGGAGGAGGAGGAGGAGGAGGAGGAGGGGGACGAGGAGGAGGGTGGGTCGCGGGACGAGGGGGAGGAGGGGGAGGGAGGGGAGGAGGAGGAAGAGGAAGAGGATTAGGATGTTGTTGTTGATGATGATGGTGATGATGATGATGATGATGATGATGATGATGATGATGATGACGTTGATGTCGGCGATGATGTTGATGAGGATGGTGATGATGATGTTGATGATGCTGATGAGGATCATGACAAGGATGATGGTGATGATGATGACTGTGTTGGTGGCGGTGGCGGTGATGATTATGATGCTGATGATGAAATTGATTATGATGCTGATGCTGATGATGCTGCTGATGATGCTGATGCTGATGCTGATGCTGATGTTGATGCTGCTGATGATTAGGATGATGAGGATGAAGTCGAGGATGATGGTGATGATGATGATGCTGATGATGATGGTGGTGATAATGATGTTAATGATAATGGTGATGCTGATGCTCATGCTGATGCTGATGCTGATGATGTTGACGCTGATGCTGATGCTGATGCTGATGCTGCTGATGATGCTGATGATGCTGCTGATGCTGGTGATGGTGATGATGATGGTAATGAGGAGGAGGAGGAGCAGGAGAAGGAGGAGGAGGAGGAGGAGGTGGAAGATGAGGAGAAGGATGGGGGACGAGGAGGATGGTGGGTCGCGCGAGGAGGGGGAGCAGGAGGAGGAGGAGGAGGAGGAGGAAGAGGAGGAGGAGGAGGAGGAGGAGGAGGGGGAGGAGGGGAGGACAAAGAGGGCGATGAGGAGGGAGAGGAAGAGGAAGAGGATTAGGATTAGGATGATGCTAATGGCGCTGACGATGATGATGATGATGATGATGATGATGATGATGATGATGATGCTGATGCTGATGCTGATGCTGATGCTGATGCTGATGCTGATGCTGATAATGATGCTGCTGCTGATGGTGATGCTGCTAGTGATGATGATGATGATGATGATGATGATGATGATGATGATGATGATGATGATGATTATTGTGATGGTGATGGTGATGAGGATGGTGGTGGTAGTGATGATGTGGATGGTGATGCTGATACTGATACTTATTACGATGCTGATGCTGATGCTCATGCTGCTGCTGATGATGACGATGATGTTGATACTGATGGTGATGCTGATGTTGATGCTGATAATGCTGATGGCGAGGATGATGAGGATAATGACGAGGATGATGGTGATAATGATGATGTTGCTGGTGGTGGCGGGGATGGTGATGATAATGATGAGGATGATGCTGATGCTGATGCTGATGATGATGATGATGATGATGATGATGATGATGATGATGAAAATGATGGCCATGATGATGCTCATGCTGATGATGCTGCTGATGATGATTATGCTGCTGATGCTGACGATGCTGATGATGATGATGCTGATGCTGATGCTGATGGTGGTGCTAATTCCAATGAGTCTGCTGCTGCTGAGGATAATGATGATGATGGTAATGAGGAGGAGGAGGAGGAGGAGGAAGAGGAGGAGGAGGAGGAGGACGAAGACGACGAGAGAATGCAGTAGGAGTATAACGCGAAAGGGCATACGGAGCCGGACGAGAGAGAGAGAGGAGAAGGATCAGGACGACAGAGAGAGGAGAAGGAGCAGGACGACGAGAGGGAGGAGGAGGAGGAGGTGGAGGAGGAGGAGGAGGAGGAGGAGCAGGACGAGATGGAGGATGAGGAGGAGAAGTTGGAGGAGAAGGAGGAGGAGAAGGAGGATAATGAGGAGGAGGAGGAGGGGAGGAGGAGGAGGAGGAGGAGGAGGAGAGAGGAGACTGATGAAGAGGAGGAGGCTGAGGAGCAGGAGGAGGAGGGAGGAGGAGAAGGACGAGGAGGAGGAGGATGGAAGGAAGAGGAGGAGGAGGAGGAGGAGGACGACGACGAGGACGACAAGAGTGAGGAGAAGGAGTTTGACGCTGGGAAGGAGGAGGAGCTGGACGATATAGAAGCGAAGGAGCGGGACAAGAGAGGGGAGAAGAAAGAAGACGACGTGAGGGAAGAGGAGGAGAAGGAGGAGGAGGAGAAGGACGAGAGGGATCAGGAGGAGCAGGAGGAGGAGGAGGAGGAGGAGGAGGAGGAGGAGGAGAAGGAAGAGGAGGAGGAGGTGAAGGAGTAGGAGGAGAAGGAGGAGGAGGAGGAAGAGGAGGAGGAGATGCAGAGGCAGGAGCAGGAGCAGGCGCAGGTGGAAATGGAGGAGGAGTAGGAGGAGGAGGAGGATTGTGCTAGGATTGTGCTACTTAGGACTTACGCAGATGGAGAGCACCACGCAAGCCGCCTTCGCCGTGTAAGTTATTACTTACAAGGGCTTCCCTGTGGATGGATGGCGGCCCTCCCACAAACGCGTCAGTCGACCCTTGGCCGTCCGAGCTCGGGCGGGCTTGCAGCCCTCCTTCACTAGGTTCGTCCACTTACACTGAGCGTAGGAAGAGCATTGCCTGCAGAAAACAAAATTGGGGCGAAACACAAGGTGGTGCCCTAGCCCCTGTGCCCTAATAATGCGTGCTTGTCGGGCTTCGAATTCGACAGATTCTGCGCCCGACGGCCCGCTCTGAGTCTGGTTGGTGGCCCTGGGATCTTCCTGGTCCCTGGGGCCCACAGACGGGGAAGGGGGAGGCATCAGAGGAGGAGCAGGATTCGACTCGGCGGCCTGGCTCGGGGCTGGTCCTCTGATGCTGCTCGGCTCGACATCGGTGATCGTATCGACGACGTCGGGCGACATTGCGCCGAGCCTTACAGCAAACTCCAGGGCATCTGCTACCATGCTATACTTCTGCTGGTATGCCTGCCGCTGCCAGAAAGGGTGCGCACACAACGTAGCCCCCTTCTTCGCGTATTCGTCCGCGAAGCGGTTGCCTCTGAACAGTCTCTCGCCTATCTCTCGCCGCTGGGCTCGAGTGGCGTGTGCCTTTATTTGTATTATCTGGATGGTCCTGGGGCCCAGCCCTCCAAGATCGTTCACCAGAAACCAAAACTCTCGCCAGAGGTCACTGTGAGCCCTGGCAGGTGACGTGCACCACTCCTCCCCTCTGGAAGTTCCGTCCACTACAGCCTGACAGTCACAATAGATTTTGAGGGGCGGCATCGCGCACCTCAGCACCTGAAGGATGGCATACAGTTCGGACGGGTATATCCCTTGCCGATTTTGTGGCAGGGGGAGGGGGCCGAACGCTGAAAAAGCAAGTCTCTCCCCCGAGGCATCGAGGGTGGCGAAGCTCCACCCCGCACGCCGAAGGGGAATACATTCACCGTACAAGAGAGATCCATATGTGAAAACCTCTCCTGTGATGGCTCCTGGATGTTCGCCCTCATGCTGGACCTCGAACGAGACTGGCAGAACATCCAGGAGCTCTACTGGGTCCTCGGAGATACCTCTGGCCCAGAGTGCTTCGAAACCAGGGAACGGGTTTGCTCCTCTGTGCTGCACGTGCCTGCCGCCTACACGCCTGCGCATCGCATCACGCGCGCTGCATACATACGTGCGGTGCAAGTCTGTTCCTACAGCACTCATGCATGCCTGGCACAGGTCGGTCGTCGCACGACCAGCCCTAAATATTCTCTGTTGGGGCCACGTGCCTCCCGCAAACAAGGTTCGGGCCCGCGTGCGATGCTCTGCAGTCCACTTTTCAGACAGTGGCCTGCGGAGCAGCATTCTAATCGGCTCCAGAAAGACGCTCTTAGAGACATTCACCTCAGGACCCCAACGCGCAAGCCAGCTGCTCTGCAGCCCAGAATGTGTGGCCTGGCGCACGAGGGAGTGAAGGTAGTACAAATCAATCTGAGCCAAATCGAGCACCTCTGTCCCGCATGTGACTGTAGCTGGACTCTGGGTGCTCCAACCAAGGCGAATTACAGTTGCAATGAAAGCGCCTGCTGGTCCCCTCACTAGGCCCCACGGCCTCGGATGCCCGTGGAGTCGCATGGCCCACGAGCGCCAGCTCGCCACCAGGAGGTCCCGTGTGGCCATGTCCGTCGCCTCCTGCCACGCCTTGGCCCACTCCACGACGGGCCCCGAGGAGGAGGAGGAGGAGGAGCAGGTGCAGGAGCAGGAGCAGGAGCAGGAGCCGGAGCAGGAGCAGGAGCTGGAGGAGGCGGGGGAGGAGGATGAGGAGGAGGAGGAGGAGGAGGAAGAGGGG